TCTGTTCAGAGCCTCACTATTCTTCTACATGCCCTAGTTTGCAATGCTGGAATTAATCTCTACTCTTCTCTCTATCTTGCCTTACCCAACCAGTCAGTTGCCAAATCTTACCACTTCTACATATTTCTCTATTCACTTGGACTATTGCAAAAGACTCTTAATTAAAAGTCCAGTCTCAATGTCCTCTAAACTATCTTCTAAAAACCTACAAAAATGTTCTTCCTCAAACATATGACTGATCATATCACTTGCTTACTAAATCCTTAAACAGATATCTTATTGACTTGAGGACAAATAATAATTCCTAAGCTTGATATTTATACTCCTATGCCACATTATCCAGTAGGATAGGACAGGACACTCTGAATAGTGTGCACATCAAAATTTTAGTTGAATGGAAGACAACAATGTATTTTGAAAACCTCAGGTCTCATTCGTGTTGGTATCATAATAAAAATAATCACATAACAGAAATATTAATATCTCAATATGAAAATTTTAATTTCACAAATTACTTTTGTCCCACAATTTTTAGAAGAATATATTGTTATGCTAATTTTACAGATGAGGTAACTAAGGGTCACAGAGGTGCAGTCACTTAAACACAATCACAATCAGAGCCAGTAAGACTCAGATGTGGGACTCAAACCCACAATTGAAGCCACTTCTCCTTGCTTCAAGTTCAGTTCTCTTTCCATTACATCAACCAACAAATATATCAGTGAAATTCCTCACTTAAAGCTTCAATTTGAGAAGTGGAGGGAAAGTAATAAATAAAATAAATCTATACACAAAAGTTTTTACCTAAGTATTCCTTACCTAACTATGTTTGATGATATACTTACTGTTTATAGTGATGTTTCAGGATATATATCACCTATGAGAGATTAGAATTTTATTTACTAACATTCTATAACAAGGCTCAATGCATATACTTCACTTCTTAATCTTTAACATTATATGGCCCCATAAGGGACCAGAAACAAGAAGACCAAAATCAGGAATGAATCTTACTCATGGGGGGGGAGAGAGAGAGAGAGAGAGAGAGAGAGAGAGAGAGAGAGAAAGAGAGAGAGAGATGCATTAAAGCCCAATGCAAAACTGAAATCAACATAAAGTTTGACATGTCAAGAAGAATACACAGGCTTCCCTGAAATGAGCTACAAATCAGATAATCAGATCTAAGAATTTTTATACTAAAACCAAGAACAGCAATGGTACCCATTAATGCAACTGGATGATTGCGTTAGGCTCCAGTTATTACCTATGCATAGTAGCACCATATTTATGTTGGGTTTCATAACATTTGGGAGATAACCCCTTGAGTACCTTAGCACCAAATGTAGCCACCATCACTAAAATGCCTTTTGAAATCCATTGGGATTGAGAAAATTACAAACACACCAGTGAGTTGTGTGAGAAATCCTCTAAATTCTCAGGAGGCTTCATCATTTTTATTTATGTTTGTACTGTATTTTTAAAAAGTAAAAATAAAATAAAACAAGATTGGATAGCACCATAGCCAAAGTAGTATGATCTGCCATGGAAGTTCTCAAAAATTGTTCTAAGATCAACATGTGGCAATTGTGGTTGTGACAGTGTTCACTAACTATGAAATTTGGTCCCGATCAAATTATCAGATTCATTTTGGTCAGGCCATAAGACACACTGATTACACATATACAAAATTGAAGTCGAAAGACCAACTATGAAAGTCAGCTTACTACAAATCACAGATCCTAGAACAAAGGCACTATTTATAGTGAAGACAATTATCCATGTGTAAAGGCAGTACTGACAATCTTTTCAATCCTGATAAACTTTTGCTGGAATGTAAGAACATATATAATATATGACACAAAAATTTTCCATAAGACATTTGACATGTGCTGTGAGTCAGCAGAGGGCCAGGAAATCCCATAATGCTCTCTATATCTTGCTTGGTCATAAATTATTTACTTATCCATATATCTGAGAAGAAAACTATTCCATGCCTCACTGAACTTACTCATAATATCACCATTTATGTCTTACAGGGATCTCTTTGCTAGCACTGGGGGCACGACTCTGTTGCTTTGCTAATACTTGGATCTGGGTCACAGTCTTGGGTTGCAGTCTCAGGGCAAGGAGGAGCAATAGCACAGCAAGGCTTATGGCCACACTGTAGCAGGGATCTTTGTCACAGTTCCAAGGCAGAAAAGAGTGTTTGTGGTCACTCACAGACCAGAGCTTAGGTCTTGAAAGTAGTAAACACCTCTACTTAGATCATACCACCTAGGAAAAAATGAAAACTTACAGGTCCCTAGAAGTACCTCTGAAAAGAGCAGCACAAAATCTCTGAAGCTTGGAATGGTGCTTCCTCCACCCTGGAAGGAGAGCCCTACTTTATCAAAGAGTTAAAACTCAAAAATGAGCACACAACAGAACAAACTCTGACCATAGAAAACTACTATGGTGATAAGAAAGCTCAAAACACACACTAAGAAGAAGACAACAAAGTCAAAGCTCTTACACCCAAAGCCTCCAAGGAAAATATGAATTGGTCTCAGGTCATAGAAGAGCTCAAAAAGGATTTTTAAAATCCTAAAGGGAAGTAGAGAAAAAATTGGGAAGAGAAATAAGAGTAATGAAAGAAAATCATGACAAAAGAGGCAATACCTTGGTAAAGGAGGCACAAAAAATACTGAAGAAAATAACACCTTAAAAAAAACTTAATTGACTGATTGGTAAAAGAAGTATAAAAACCCAAATGAGGAGAAAAATGCCCTGAAAAGTAGAATTGGCCAAATGGAAAAAGATTTTTAAAAATTCACTGAAGAAAAGAAAATCTTAAAAAGGAGAATGGGCCAAATGTAAAAGGGGGCACAAAAACTCACTGAAGCAAATAATTCCTTAAAAATTAGAATTAAGCAAGTAGAAGCTAGTGACTTTATGAGACATCAAGATACAATAAAACAAAACCAAAAGAAGAAAAAACAGAAGATAATGTTAAATATCTCACTGGAAAAACAACTGATCTGGAAAATAGATCCAGGAGAGATCATTTAAGAATTATTGGACTACCTGAAAGCCATGATCAAAAAGAAAAAAAAAACAAGGCACTTGGACAGTACCTTTAACAAAATTATCAAGGAAAACTGCCCTGATGTTCTAGAATCAGAGGGGAAAATCAAAATTGAAAGAATCCACTAATCACCTCCAGAAACCAATCCCAAAATGAAAACTCTCAGAAATATTATCACCAAATTCCAGAGCTCCCAGGTCAAGGAGAAAATATTGCAAGCAGACAGAAAGAAACAATTCAAGTGTCATGGAGCCACTGTCAGGAAAAGATAAGATTCAGCAGCTTCTACATTAAAGCATCAGATGGCTTGAAATGTGACATTCTGGAGAGCAAAGGAGCTAAGATTACAACCAAGAATCACCTACCTAGCAAAACTGAGTATAATCCTTAAGGGCAAAAAATGGATATTCAATGAAATAGAGAACTTTCAAGCATTCCTTATGAAAATACCAGAGCTAACTAGAAAATTTGACTTTCAAATATAAGACTCAAGAGAAGCATAAAAAGGTAAACAGGAAGGGGAAAATCATAAAAGAATTAATAAGGTTAACCAGTTCACATTCCTGCCAGTTATTTTCCCTAGTTTTCCTGAAGATAGTTCACATTCCACTTTCTGCACAAAGTGGTTCCAATTTAACAGTGGCTCTCTCTCTCTAAGATCACAATTCATCTACTCTGTCTATAATTTATATGCACCTAGTTGTTTACATGATGTCTCTAAATGGAAGGTGAGATCCTGGAAGGCAGGGATTTTTTTTGCTTTTTTTTTGTATTCCAAGTTATAGCATAGAGCTGGCACCTAGTAAGCCCTTAAAATCCTTGTTGACTGCTGAACAACTTGGTTATCCTCCTTTGGATGATTTCCAGATTTTCAATGTTTTCTTAAAATGAAGAGGTCAGAACTGAAAATATCATTCCACATCTGGTCTTATTAAGGGAGAATCCAGTTGAACTATCACCCTCCTAATTTTTAAATAATCTTTTATTTTTCCAATTGTAGATTAAAAAATTTTTTAGCATTTGTATTAATTTTTTCCTCAAATTAACTGGCAGAGGTTGGCAAGCAAACCTTTTCAGGTCTGTGAGAAAGTCAGTGTAAAGACACAGAAGATGGAGTGTCATGTGTGGAGAAAAGTAAATAGTTCAGTACAGCTAGATCTTACATTGAATGGATAGACATAAAATGTAAGACTGAAAATGTAGGAAGGAGCAAGGTTGTGGAGATTGTTATTTTTTTAATGATTATTAGTATTTTATTGTTTTTATATAATCTAAATTTTCTCTAGCATCTCTCCCACCTCATCCCTCACAAAGAGTTATCCCAAAGAAAAATGAATATTTTACAAGTATATTATGCCATAAAGGTAGTCATCAATAAAAAGAAATTTCCTGCATAGACCTAAGTATTTATAGCACCACTTTTGTGGTAACAAAGAACTGGAAACAAAGTAGATGTCCCATGATTGAGGAATGGCTAAACAAATTTTCTCATATGAACATAATGAACTCTTACTGTGCAGTAAAAAAAATGTGAATAATATAGAAGCATAGAAATTATTTACATCATCTGATATAGTGATGATAGCAGAACCAAGAAAATAACACACACAATGAATTTTGTTGTTGATCAGTCATTTCAGTCATATATGACACTTTATGAACCCATTTGGGTTTTTCTTAGAAAGATACTGGAATAATTTGACATTTCCTTCTCCAGCTCATTTTATAGATGAGGAACTGAGGCAAAGAGGGTTAAAGTTACTTGCCTTTCCAAAACCCATTACTTGGTATCTATTAATCATTACCATTATATCAAGAGAATATTAGATCCTTAAAGTAAGAGAACGTTTCATTTCTGTCCTTGCATCCATGAAAACATACATAGTGCTTGAGACACCATATGTACTTATTGTGTACATGTTGTATTGAGTTAAATTCATGAAAAAAGATGTTTCCTACCCATATATTTCTTCAGGGCCCCTTTTACTTCATTGTTCCTTAGACTGTAGATCAGGGGGTTCAACATGGGGATCATTACAGCATAGAAAACAGACACCACTTTATTCTCAGCTGTTGAGTAACTGGATTTAGGCATCACATAAATGAATGTAAAGGTCCCATAGAACAGAATGACTGCTGTGAAGTGGGAGGTGCAAGTTGAGAAAGCTTTGGATCTCCCCACAGTGGACCTTATCTTCAGGACAGAGAAGAGGATATATACATAAGAGATTAGGATAATCAGCACTGTGATTATAATTATTGTCCCAGCAGAGACAGCAGGAAGAATTTCAGAAAGATCGTCTTGGGAGTTGGAAAGCTTCAGAAGTGATGAATAATCACAGAAAAAGTGATTGATCTTATTGGGTCCACAGAAGGACAGATTCAATAAACAACCAGTAGAGATCCAAGAATTTACACAACCACCCAGATAGGATGTGAAGAATAGCAGAGTACAGACCCTGGTAGACATATGGATGGAGTAGAGTAAGGGGCTACAAATGGCCACATACTGATCATAGGCTATCACAGCTAGCAAAAAGCACTCAGCTGTCCCAAAGGTGGTTGCAAAACAAAACTGGGCCACACAGCCTCCCAGAGAAATTGAAGTCTTGTCCATAAGGAAATTGATAAACATGAGAGGTGTGACAGATGAACAATAACCAATATCCACAAAAGCCAAGTGGCTCAGGAAAAGGTACATTGGAGTGTGAAGCTGGGAGCTATTTCTAATCAATATTATGATGCAAAGGTTAACAAATAAGGTGATGGTATAGACACCCAGAAATATCACAAAGAGGATGACATGAAGGGTTAGATCATCTGTTAATGCCAAAATAATGAATTCAGTCACAGCAGAGCAATTATTGCCAGACATCTGCCTTGGAAAGAGTGCCTGTTAGAAGAAAAGAATAAAGTAGAATATTAAGATTAGAATCAGGATTAAGATTTTGATGTCTCTATTGATGTATGGAAGAAACATTAATTGACCACCTCCTACGTATCCATTCTACAAAAATGAACTTCCTAAAGCACATGGCTGATCATATCACTTGCTTACTCAATCTTTAAACAAATATCTTACTAAGGTGAGGACAAAATAATAATCCCTCAACTTGATATTTATACTTCAATGTCATGTTAATCTAGTCTTGCTCTTCAGATTTATTTCACTTTATTCTCAAGCATGCCTAGACTCCAGCCTAACTTGGCTAGTGCCTGTACTCCATACCCAGAATTCTATCCCCATCTCTGTCCCTCTGCACAGGCCATCCTCCGTGCTCCAAATTCCCTAGCTCATCTCTGCTTCTTAAAAGTTCAAGTTTCCTTTGTGTCTCAGCTAGTGGTCCACCACTTACAGGAAGCCTAGTTTCTAAAACTCTATGCCACCATAATTTATCTTGTATTTACTTATCTCTGTAAACATTTCATCCCTTCCTCTCTAGTAGAATGTAAACTCCCTGACATTAAGGACTATTTTGTATTTTATTCTTTTTTATTCTTTTATTACCCAGTGGATAGGATAGGACACCCTGCATAGTGTGTACATCAAAATATTAGTTGAATGGAAGGCAACAATGCATTTTCAAAAACCTCAAGCCTCATTCATATTGGCATCACAATCACAATCAGAGCCAATAAGACTCAGATGTGGGACTCAAACTCAATTCTCTTGACTTCAAGTCCATTTCTCTTTCCATTACATCAACCAATAAATATATCAGTGAAATTTCTCACCCAAAGCTTCAATCTGAGAAGTGGAGGGAAAGTAATAAAATAAAACAAGTTTAGTCATGTGTACACAAAGATTTCTCCTAAGTTTTCCTTAACTAACTATGTTTGATTATGTACTTACTGTTTGTAGTGATGTTTCAGGGTATATGATATCACCTATGAGAGATCAGAATTTTATTTACTAACATTCTATAACAACCCTTAATGGATATACTTCATTTCTAAATCTTTAACATTATATGGTCCTATAAGGGACCAGAAACAAGAAGACCAAAATCAGGAATGAATCTTACTCATTGGGGGGGTTGGAGAGGGAGACAGGGAGAGAGAAAGAGAGAGAGAGAGAGAAAGAGAGAGAGAGAGAGAGAGAGAGAGGAAGAGAGAGATGAATGAAAGCCCTATATAAAACTGAAATCAATATAATGTTTGGTATGTCAAGAGAAATAGATAAGCTTCCCTGAAAGGAGCTACAAATCAATAATCAGATCTAAAAATTTTTATACTAAAACCAAGAACAGCAGTGGTACCTATTGATGCAGCTAGATGATTACATTAGACTCCAGTTATTATCTTTGCATAGCAGAACCATATTTATTTTGGGTTTCATAACATTTGGGAGATAACCCCTTGAGTACCTTAGCACCAAATGTAGCCACCATCATTAAAATGCCTTTTGAAATCCATTGGGATTGAGAAAATTACAAACACACCAGTGAGTTGTGTGAGAAGCTCTCTAAATTCTCAGGGAGCTTCATTACTTTTTTCTTTATTTATGTTTGTCCAGGATTTTTAAAAATTAAAAAAAAAATAAAACAAGATTGGATAGCACCATAGCCAAAGTAGTATGATCTGCCATGGAAGCTCTCAAAAATTGTTCTAAGATCAACATGTGGCAATTGTGGTTGTGGCAGTGTTCACTAACTATGAAATTTGGTCCTGATCATATCACCAGATTCATTTTGGTCAGGCCATAAGACACACTGATTACACATATACAAAATTGAAGCTGAAAGACCAACTATGAAAGTCAGCTTACTAGAAATCACAGATCCTGAAACAAAGGCACTATTTATAGTGAAGACAATTATCCATGTGTAAAGGTGGTACTGACAATTACAGATCCTGGAACAAAGGCACTATTCATAGTGAAGACTATTATCCATGTTTAAACACAGTACTGAAAATCTTTTCAAGGCTCCTGATAAATTTTTCTGGAATGTAAGAGCATGTATAATATGTGACACAAAAAATGTCCATAGGACAGTTGATATATGCCATGAGTCAGCTGAAGTCTAGGAAATCCCATAATGCTGTCTATATCTCATTTGGTTATAAATTCTTCCCTTATCTATATCTGAGAGGGAAATTATTCCATGTCCCAATTAATTTGCTTATAATATCACCATTTATGTCTATATTATGTATCCATTTTGACTTTATCTCAGTATATAGTGTGAGATATTAGTCTACATCTAGTTTCTGTCAAACTGCTTTTCAGTTTTCCCATCAGTTTTAGTCAAATAGTGCTTTCTTGTCCCAAGAGCTTGGATCTTTGAGTTTGTCAAACACTATTTAAAAGAAGTACCAAAAGCCAATGAGGAGAAGAATGCCTTGAAAAGCAGAATTGCCAAATTGGAAAAGATATTTTTAAAATTTCCTGAAGAAAAAAAATCTTAAAAATTAGAATTGAGCAAGTAAAAACTAATGACTTTATGAGACATCAAGAAACAATAAAACAAAACCAGAAGAAGGCAAAAATAGATGAAAATGTGAACTATCTTATTGGAAAAATAATTGATCAGGAAAATAGATCCACAGGTGATCATTTAAGAATTATTGAACTATCTGAAAGCCATAATAAAAAAAGAGCCTGGACAGCATCTCAAAAATATTAGGAAAACTGCTCTGATTTTCTAGAACCAGAGGGAAAAATCAAAATTGAAAGAATCCACCAATCGCCTCCTGAAACCAATCCCAAAATGAAAATTGCCAGAAATACTATCACCAAATTGCAGAGATGCCAGGTAAAGGCAAAAATATTGCAAGCAGACATAAAGAAACAATTCGGGTATCATGAAGCCACTGTCAGGATAACACAAGATTCAGCAGCTTCTACATTAAAGGATCAGAAGGATTGGAATATGATATTCTGGAGCTACAATTACAACCAAGAATCACCTTCCCAGCAAAACTGACTATAATCCTTAAGGGTGAAAAATGGATATTCAATGAAACAGAGGACTTTCAAGCATTCCTCATGAAAATACCAGAGCTGAATAGAAAATTTGAGTTTGAAATACAAGACTCAAGAGAAGCATAAAAAAGGTAAACAGGAAAAGGAAATCATAAGGAATTTAATAAGATTAAACTGTTTACATTCCTCCGTAACTTGCAACTCTTAAGAACTTTCTCATTCTTAGGGCAGTTAGGAGTATATATAGTCAGAGGACCCAGGTATGAGTTGAATATGATGGGATGCTATCCAAAATAATAAAATTAAAAGGTGAGAAAGAGGAATGCACTGGGGGAAAAAAAGGGGAAAGGGAGAAGTAAAATGGAGTACATTATCTTAAATAAAATAGGCAAGAAAGAGCTTTTACAGTGGAGGAGAAGATGGGGAATGTGGCAGGGAATGTTTGAACCTTACTTTCATCAGAATTGGCTCAAATAGAGAATAATATACACACTCAATTGGGTATGGAAATCTTACCCTATAGGAAAGTAGGAGGGGAAAAGGATAAGAGTGAGGAGTGCTGATAGAAGGGAGGATGGATTGGGCAAGGTGGTAGTCAGAAGTAAAACACTTTTGAGGAGGGACAGGGTTAAAGGAGAGAGAGAATAGAAAAAACAGGAGGGAAATGGGACAGAGGGAAATACAGTTAGCAATCATAACTGTGAAAAAAAATTTTGAAGCGAGTTTCTCTAATAAAGTCTTAATTTCTGAAATATATAGAGAAATTAGTCAAATTTATAAATATAAAAGAGCCTTTCTCCAATTGATAAATAATAAAAACATATGAATAGTTTTCATATAAAGTGATTAAAACTATCTATAGCCATATTAAAAATGCTCTAAACCACTATTGATTGGAGAAATGCAAATTAAAATAATTATAAAATATCACCTCACACATATTAGATTGGCTAATAGAACAGAAAAGGTAAATTATAAATGTTGTAGGAGAGTTGGGAAAATTGAGACACTGATGCAGTCCTGGTGGTGTTATGAACTAATTAAACCAATATGTAGAGCAATTTGGAGCTATGCCCAAAGGACTATAAAACCAGGGGCCAGAGCCAAGATGGCAGAGTAAAAGCAGTAACTTGTTTGAGCTCTCCCTCATACCCTCCAAATACCTGTAAAAATGACTCTAAACAATTTCTATAGCAGCATAACCCACAAAAAGACAGAATGAAACAAATTTCCAACCTAAGACAACCTGAATTGTTGATAGGAAAGGTTTGTTGCACCGGACTGGGACTGGAGCATAGTTCAGCATAAGCCACATAGGAAAAGAGGAGGCCCCAGCAAACCCAAATCAGGCCTCAGGGGACTGAATCACAGCTGTGGCAGTTTCCAGACTTCTCAACCCACAAGTGTCAAAGACAACTTAGAAGGTCAGTAGGTAAGGTCTGTTGGACCTGAGTGAGAGAGGAGTGTGGTCTGGCCCCAGCCCTGGTATGCTCCCAGGGTGGTGGCAGAGGCTGATTTCAGAGCTCTTGGCCCACCGATGGTCAGGGGATCAAGTAGCTGATCAGAGAAGAATTGCAAGGACCTCTTTGCTGGCACTGAGGCAAGATTCTCTTACCTTGCCCGTGCTTGGATCTGGGTCACAGTCCTGAGTGGCATTCCTGGGGCAAGCAGGAGCACTGGCATGGCAGAGCTTGTGGCGGTGGTGGAGAGAATCCTGCTCACAGTTCCAAGGCAGAAAAGAGTGTTTGTGGTCACTCATAGACCAGAGCCAGGCCAAGAAAGGAGTAAATATGTCTCCTTTGATCATACCACCTTGGAAGAACTGAAAATTTACAGGTCCTCAAAAGTATCTCTGAAAACAGCTGCACAATACTCCTGAAGTTTGGGATAGTACACCCTCTATACTAGAAGCAGAGCCCTGCCTTAACAAAGAGTTAAAAAGTCAAGTA